GCTACTGCACTGATAGTTGAAGCTTAAATAAAGTCAATAGTCTGCCAATGCACAAGTCTAAGTCTCACCCGTCAAAGCTGAGTGTAATCCCTATTCACAGCTCATCTGCATCCTCACATTCAGGGCTATTATTAAAGAACAAACACCCATCTGCAGCTCGTAATGTCTTTCATACCTCACCATCTTGTATGGATGAGTATTTGCCAGGGGTAGTTTGGCATGAACACCAACCGCTTATCAGCATCCTTTGAAAAGGGGACCTAATTCAGTACCAAAAACTGTGAAGTTCATCGAAGTACTCACTTTCTTTGCCCTCTGCACCCCTTTGCTCCACTTCGAACCTCTTGGCATGAAAGTGCTGCAAATTGTAAGTTATGGAGTACACATTGGAGAACAAACCCTTCAGAATATGAGGCAAGGGCTTGGAACTTGCTCAGCAATATAAAATGGGTCAACAATGATATATTGAGGTGGTCTTGTCTGACTTGTACTACGGCGCAATGGATTCTGAGCATACATGTGGCATTTGTACACATATGGAAAGTCTATCTACAGCCACCTTGCCACATGGCATCTGCTTTGACCCAGAACACAGTGATTACAGCCAGCATACAGGTTCCATTCATGTGACTAGTTGAACTACACTGTACTAACACATTCAAATTGCGTTCATGATGAGATGGGGTGAGTGGAGAATCTTACTTGCATAGTCAGAGATAAAATGAGCATATCAACAAGAACAAGAGCAACAACTACAGGTTTGAAATTGTACAGTCATGCTAGTCCGAAGGACACATTAACTTGAAGCTCCCTTGCTGCAGTGCTGCTTGCCAGCCACGAAACCTCAAGTAATGACCAATTTGCGCATCCTGGACGGGCCCAACTGCGTGATACTAGCTGTGCACTTTGCAGCCTTCAATGCCTTCTTGTACCACACTGAGTAGTGGCAGTATGTGGTCTCATGCATAGCGCCAGCAATTTTCGTGATAATGTCTTCCTTCCTGACGCGGAAAACGATAGTAGGGTCCCACAGGGCGTCGACATCGACGTCATCGTCAATTTCCTTACATAATGAGATCAATCTCTCCCTGATTGCATTCACTCCTTTCCCCATCATCGTTAGCACCGGGGCCATAGTATCTTCAGGGTACAGAAACTATAAAAATAACGTTAGCTACACAAGAATTTTAAAATAAAAAGAAAACATTACCCCATCCACAACTAGATTTGGATCATCTGAGTATATGTCTATGGGATCATCCCTGCACACCCACACCTTGAACCACACTGACGATACTGAGCACCATGTGTGATTCTCTATGATGACTGGTGCATTGAGGGCGGGGGACCTGTCTTTGAAATGAAGCCTTTTGCTGATCGTTTCGATGGGTCCTGTAGTAGTAGACGTCCCGTATCTGAGCCCCTCTTTGGCAAATGATAGGGAGCGTTCTTGAACATGACAGCAGCGATCACGAGCAATAAGGAGGGGTTTTCGATAATGGCGCCTTCTAACTTATTGATCAAAGCGTCGCCGTGCTGTGAAAATGCAGTTTCTGCCAGGCCAGGGATGATAACCTCAGAGCCGGCATCCCGCATGTTTTGAAATGATATTCGCATGTCAGGAACGAGTGAATCTGATGCTTCAATGTTGCTCAAAATGTTTGCATTGAGCGCCTGACAGTTGAATGGAATGTTCTCAAGAAAGCATGTGAGCACTGTGTGTAAAGCAACAAGGGGAGCTTCATGAATGGCCGAGGGCATTTCTACAATCAATGTGCTGTCATCATCGAAGTACGTCAATCTATAGTATTGAGGTAGTAAGAACCAACATGACAGAGTAGCTTTTTCAAGCTCACCTTGGTTTCAAACCGAAATTGCAAGACTCGTTGATGAAATGCACTAGTTCTTCATACTTGACCTGCCAAATCCCACAAAACTCCTGAGAAGTGAAGATGATTTCACTGCTATGCCATACAAGTACATCAGACGCCTACCTCACACTCATGCTGACGATCTGGTTTCGTGATAAAATGAAGGACCTCTTGGCATATATGTTGGGCTTACAGACGAGAAAGTAGGTTCAGCTTATGCAATGCAATAAGGCTGATCAGTACCACATACCTGAAGGTGTTATCTCAGGATTTCCAGCTACAGACTGATGAAAACTATCCAGAATATAATCCAATTGATCCGTCTCAACCAAAATATTCTTCTTTTCTACAACTTGAGGGTTGTTGGTGGTGGGTTGAACTGCGGGAACACCCTTAACCACTGGAACTGAGTCAGAGTCAAAGGCCTTGTGGGGTTTGTATTCAGGCCTGATGTTGTTCTCATCATTGAAGAAGGGGCTACTCCTTGGTGTGGCATTAATCGCAGCACTATGAAGAGAAGTAGAGAGTGCATCTTTGAATGCAGTAGGCATGAAGAATCAGGTCCGAAGGCAGTAGTACTGCCAAGATGTGATGTTTTTAAACAAACAGCATAGCCTTTACTACTTGGTACTACTGTGACTAAGTTGGAAGCATGCTTAGCTAATAAGAACCATCACAGTAGACCTGTGAACTACTAGTAGTAGTGGTATGAGATCATCAATGCAGCTGAATTTGACTGGAATTTAACATCTATTCATGTCAAGACATAAGCCAGAGAAACAGAATAAAAAATTGGCACCAACATTCTCGAGTGAAGTCATTTAGACTCCATTTCAGACACCAAACAATGACAATCTTGCTTGATAGAGACATGACCAATCATGGCATGGGGTATACTTCCAAGGAAACTATGCGACCCCTGGATCTTTGAGTTGCCTCAGACGCCAGGTACTAGCACTGGATGAACTCAGATGAGGGCCCTGGAAGTGTGATATAGCATGAAAATCATATCAGAGCCTTGCGGAAAGTGCGGCAGGATGACTTATCAGAAGTGAAAAGCACAAGTGACTGTGAAGTGAATCAGGCTGCAGCGGCAAATATGATCAGTCAGTGGAACTCACCTGATTGATGCAAGGTTACACAAATAACGACTTATTAGACAGGTGAAATGAAAGAGAAATAGGAAAGACAGAAGTGTGGGACTCAGGAACTTCTCAGGAGCTTGGGGCACAGAGGAGACTGATACTCATAGAAGAATTAAGGTGGGTGTGTTGGGAAAAGCAGTATGATTATTGTACAAATTATGTTAGTGATTACAGCACCCCCACTAGTACTTATTTGTATATATCCCAAATTTAGATGGTGGGTAAACACGAAACATCGGAGTTTGAAAAAATCTGGGAAGGCTCCATGCAAGCTCAGTTCCAGTTAGGGGCTTCTGTACTAGAATCAAGCATAACAATGATACAGACACTAGATACTATGGTACTATGTCTGTATACATGTGGCGGTACACTAAATTTCTTCGTCAGATTCGAGTTGTATGCAATCCGACCACATGCAGTGGTGAGCCAAATCCCAGTGTTGTGCGATATGCAGCGGAATATCACTATCAAATTGATACAGCCCTGCCGCCCTAACCATTTCATCATCTGCTTCTAATAAAGGTAGGGATGATGTGGCTACTGGTGGCAATGGAGGGGATGGTGGAGGTGGAGGTGGTGGAGGTGGAGACAATGGAGGAGGAGGTGGTGGTGGTGGTGGTAGTGGTAGTGGCAGTTGTTGGAGGTGGGAATTCTCTGCCTCCTGTGGGTCCCCTGCTGCAGCAATGGGTACATAGAATAGGAACTGTGACTTGCGGCTATGTGGTGATGGTGCACCTTCCACGAGATTCCCTGCTACTGAAACATCACAGTTGAATGTTTGCCGACTCTGGCGATCTCGCAGACTCCATGTTAAAGCATCATAGGTGGTGGTCTGAGTGGGTTTTTCTATGATGATTTAATATCAATCAGTATGATAATGTCAACATCAAGAAAAAATGTACTGGTGGGCATCTCTGATGATTTGAACTGCCCTTCAGACTGTCAGCTTGCCTTAGAACTCCAAATTTCATTGCAACTATCTAACAGAAATATTTAAACTTACCCTGGTAGCCATGATGGTAGCTGTATTACATATTAACTCGCCAGCGTGGGCTTTGCTGTATGTAAGACTAAGATCTTGACTTGGCTGCACGTCCAGATCTCTCCACTTGAATAGAATGCGCCAGTCGGTTCATCATCAAGCTGTTCGGGTCATGAAATGTCTTGGAATGGTGATATTGAGCACCATCTTGAAGGCACCCTTAAAGAACTCATAAACTGATATTAAGTACATGCATACCTGTGCATGAATCCATGCCGATGCAGTCATGGCAGTACTATTCATTGGATGGTGATGAGGGGCATCGTTTCCTGACAGTATGGTATTCAAACTCAACCAATACTCACCGATCATCATAATGTCCGAGTTGTTGTTGACACTCCTGCGTCATCAAACAACTGGAGACGCCATCTAGGCAATTTAGTGATTTGAGCCTGTGCCACATACATTGGTGTGATCCACCTGGACAAAGCCATCTTGGTTCTGTATTCCACCATTCCTTCGTTCAAACCACTTCTTGACAAATGTTCACATATATTACTACACCCCAAGGTGCTGTAAAGTCATCTGGCCTATTCCTTGGCAACCACAAAGACAGGAGTCGAGATATCAAGTTGAAATAATCAAAGGTCTAGCATGAGTGTCCATACAATGTTGACATTTAGCCAGGTGATGGTGGGCTGCTCGAGCTTCATGTAGTAGATCTAATTCCTAATCACCTCAGTAGATGATGCACATACAGTTGTTACTTCACACCTTTGCCTGAGACTCAATGACTTCAAGGTGCACTGTAGTATTTGGAGGTCGTCATATTTTAGAACACTTTAAGAATGACCCAGGAGTGTATTGAGTTGTACTAGGGGGTGAGCCAGTACAAGAAATGTCTATCATGGGGTGCTCAATGCTGAAGACAATGCGAGAGGGATGCTTGGCGCGATGAGAGATGGCATCTGCACCTAATTGGGAAGGAAAGATTATCTTCCCTCTACTAAGAGGGGGAGACTATCACTACACTGCAACACATGAGTACTGGCCAGTTTCAGCGAGATGCATGAAGTAAAACAAAAAGTGTCTGGTCCTAACGTATCAAGAGCTAAGACATGTGATGCTGCTGCAGTTCCCTGTCAAACCTGCTCAAATATCTAAATGAAGGGCTGTGCTTGCACCTGACAGAAGGCACTTGACAGAAACCATCAGCATTGTCTTGAGCTTGAATCCAGTTGGTTCGGCTCTCAAAACATTCCAGGGGCCCCACATCAATCACGGTCTATATCAAAGTGGGTTAAAAAGGATAACAGTGTATTTTAAAAGAGTGTACATAAATCCAAAAGGCAGGAGAACACAAGCCCGACATAACATTCCCTGGAAGTGATGAAAGACTGAGAACAAGATAGAAGAATCTAATAGAACCTGTGAATGAGAATATGTCGACGAGATTGCAATCCAAGATCTAGGATAAACTTATGAAGACCATAATTCACAAACAGGGGGCATACCTTCCAACACATGCTTTGCTTCCTCAGGGCCTGTAGTCCTCGTTGCACGCCAAGGTCTGCCATCTGAACTTCCTAATGAACACGCACCCGGGATCCTCCAGGAGAGCTTGAAATTCTGTTTTGGTAGAAAGGCACGCAGGAACAAGCAGATGGACTTGGGTGAAGACTAATGAAAAGAGTGTATACTACAGTAGAGTGAGAAATGAATATGACATATAAGTGAATGTCTCACCTTCAGTCTTGTGCTAGTAGAGCAATGGACTGAAGCATTAGTAACTCTGAGCTGTATGTACTTGCCTCACTTGTGACTGCCACATAACCTTTGTAATTAGAGGTGGATGTTGGTTGCCTGGGTGCCTCTAAGTACAGGTAGATACAGGGATATAGCACTTGGATGGATAGTGATTGCTGGGTATTTAGCATGGGCACTTATCAAAAATCAACAGCAGTCGGCACTGATTAGTCACAAGGTACCTCAGCAATATCCCGGCAGGCTATTAATATCATTCCTGTCAGCAATGTGACGTTCCTGGCCCTGACAATGTTTGGCAAGTCCCATAAACCTTCATCTTCACTGTCTGTCACAGCAAGCTCACATATAAGGTGCTCCCTTGACCGTTTTGCACCAGATTTTTTTGCAGATCAACATACGGCGTTATATAAACTATTATATAGGCATAAAACATGTATAATACACCTGCAGTCATTAAACACTCATTGCACCACAACACCCCATTGAATCACTTTGTCCATTACTACACAACAACACAAAAAGATGATTACATCTGGCCTGGGCCTTGTAAAGTATTCATTTACCTTCCCTGCCATCAAATTTTAAGTAGGGCTGCATATTGAGTATTCATCATCATTGTCATCAGTGTCATTGAATGCATAACACTTTCCTTTTCTGTTCTCTATTTATCACATGTAACAACATATATAATATGCACTGTCTCATTCCTTCATACCTCAGTCATTGTCTCCAAACACTGAGGTATGGTTCATTGTCTCTCATTGTCCTGCCATGTCTTACTATATCCTCCTAGCATGTTTCATATCCTAGGTATTAATACTATTGAGTCATTGTCTCCAAACACTGAGCGTGTTTTGTGTCCTAGCTTCTAACAGGTTATGAGCTGTGATTTCTGACAGAAATCATATCAAGCTACATACCAACATGTGCCGTTCTCACAGCAACTCGCTGTAACCCTCCTCTATTGAAGAGACTCCCCCCCAACTTCCTTTGACATGAGGAAGCTTGATCACATTCCGGAATTGACAGGTCCAGATACACACTTTGCATGGAAACATGAGGTGATCTATGCCCTCAGTATTGAGGACCAGTGGTGCCATGTCATGGATACTGTGGATCCTGATGATGTTTTGGGCAATGCATCTTTCAAGCCTACAGTGGCGAACCCTTTGGCACCTACAGTTGACGAGATGAAGGTCATTTGTGAATGGCTCATAAATGACCTTAAGGCCAAGTCTATCATCACCCATTGCCTTTCTACCTCCATCCAACAGCTTATTTCAACCAGTCATAAGGTGGCTGCTTGTGATGCCTGGAAGATCCTAGAGGACCACTTTGACTGGGTGGACATGGGGTTACAACATGTCATCTGTCAAAGCATATATGTGCTGCAGATGAAGGATGCCACTGATGCCTCAAACTATGTGGGGCAACACTCTGTACTTCATGAATGGATGCTTTGCATGGGGGTGGTTTACACTGACACTGAAGCAGTGTTTCAACTTCTATGTGGTTTACCTCATACTGGGATATGGCCCCAGTTCAAGGCTCTCCTAATGTTGACTCTCCCCATTGCTACTCAAGCTGTCACCACCACCACCACTACTACTGTATCTGCATCTATAGCTACTGGAGCTGCCACTGCAGGATCTGCATCCTCCCTTCCCTCAGCCTCCACATTTGACACCTGTGTTGCTCACATCTCTGCAGAAGCTGCTCACATCCTCAATGAATGCATCCTTGCTAGAGGAGCTCCAGGATCTGAATATGCCCATGCAGCAACCACTACCTCTTCATCCACTGGGAACATTAACTCCATCACCAGCCTACAAAAACATTATCACAATCCTGAGGGTATCTTTTGCACCACAGTTGGCTGCAACAAGGGAGACCACGACCACGCACATTGTTATCAGAAGGGTAGTGTTACAAACTAGGGTAGTTCTAACAACAGATGACTCAATAAGAGTCAGGGACTTCTGTTGAGATTCTATACAGGATGATAAGTCAAGCATTCAGTGTAAGCTAATTTGAAGGGAGTGCCTTTGACTTAAAGTACAATTTGGATGACAAGAGATTGGAGGTCTCAAGTGAAGGATATTCAGGGTAAAACCTAGTAAGATTAAAGTGAAGAACTAAAGTATACAGGAGGCCTATTTATAGTAAGCTACTGTGCTTTAGGGCAGGTGTGAGAACAGAAGGAGTCAGAGATAAGAAGTGCGTAAGTGATAGTAAGAATAGATCATCTAGCAATGGCAGTTGTGGTTGTGATGTAATACAAGACATGAGTCAGAGATAAGTGTCTAGTGGCAGCATCATGCGGCTCATGATATAATACATGGTAATAGAGGAGAAATGAATAGGGGTGTACATGGTTGTAACATTACCCCTCATTTAGAGACAAAGTCACTGACTGTAGTTATCCTGATTGGCCCAATAGACAGGGTCAGCGTCATAGTTAGAGTCCAGCAAGTTGTTTTGCTCCTCTGTAATGGTATATGATGACTTATCAGCCATCTCGGCGGCATGGTAAATGGCGTCCTGCTCGATCTCCCAACAAGCGAGGGCTTTGTAGAAACCAGTGTCAGTCCAAACCAATGGGATGACCACTTCTCCTTTCAAGTCTTTACAAAAGACTGATAGATGTCCAGGTGCATACTCTTTGCAAACCTGGCAATAGTATGCTGGACAGTTCTTGTGATGCTGCCTGGCGACACGACAGTTGTGACATACAACATTATCAGTGGTTGCTGTCTTTATGGTGGTGACAGTGGATGACTGTGCAGGTGGAGATGGGGATCTAGATTGTCACTTATGGTTTCTGTGTGGGGAAGCTGATGCAGTTCACTTGGCAATGCGGGCGGATCTATGCCAGATGGGGTACTGACGTGTAGTGGGTGCGATGGAGGTAGGAGATGGAGAAGCTGGTATGTCAAGTACAGCAATAGGAGGGATATTATCATCTGAATGCTCAGTGGTAGCTGTCAGAATAACTGGCAGTGGGACTGGAATGGCAATATGTGGGGATGGGGGTCGTGCGACTGGGTTTGTAGCGATCCATTCAGTGACAATGTGGATAGCCTCTCTGATAGCTTCCTTAGTATCATCAGGCAGCAGATGGATTGCAGTATTACGAATATGTATATGAAGGTGGCAGAAGATGGTCTTGTGACGGTCATCGTTGAGAAGGTTAGTGGTGCACTTGATAAGGCTAGCATCTCTGATGATTCAGATAATAAGTCTGCTAGAAATTGCCCCTCTTTCTC